GAAAGATCATATAGAAAACAGTAAATTCAAGATGAAGTAACCTTTCTCTTAAGATTTGACCAATATAATTATACTAGCAAACCAGTGAACCAAATGTTCACAAAAACCTGATTTAAAAAATAAAATAAAAATGTATTTAATTAATTGAGAACTTCGGAGATTTTGTGTGGTTTCGTTTGAAATTCGTGATTTCTCGAAAACCGGAAGTGCTACGTTACTCAAATCCGGTTTGTAGTCTTATCAGACTATTCTTAACTTATAACTTAAATATTCTCTTTATCTATCTCTTACGGTTTGTCCGCTGAAACAGCATTACAGACAGACAGACGGACGGACTTGTCTAATAGATAAGAGATTATAAGCGCCTTTGTATCTGAAGGTATCTGCGTTGCCTCTTCCTCATGCGCCATTGCATTTGATAAAGCTTTATAAGATCTTTCCAGGCTAATAGTGGTATATAGGCGGTAAGTATGACATCATAGCTATAGAGAATTTTCACCTCCCCCGTGTTTTGACAAAAGTGAGTGATTAATAATAATAATAAAGAATTTTTTCTAACACTCACATCAATTAGCTTAGCCCCAGAGTAAGTACTATAGGCTTGTGTTATGGAATACTAGGGTAACGGATAGAATACTATATACTGATACATATGTAAGTATATTTATATAGAAATACATAATAAACATCTATGACTGAAGTTCAAATGCTCCTATTTATCATACAAACATATATGAACAAGTAGGAGGTGACCCCTACTGGGATTCAAACCCGGGACACCTTGAAACCCAGCGTACAATACAAACCATCCGGCCACGGAGGTCGTCAAACCGTGGTTGTTCACTTAAGAAACTCGCTCTCCATCAAGAAATCTTATTGAAGTTCTCAAATATCTTAAAACTAATAAGGTAAGCAAGATAGACTTGATTATTTATAAAAATCTAGGTAGTAGATTCCAACTTTGTGGATAGTTTTTTTTCTCACGTATTTTAAAGATGACGAAATACTTATATTCGTATCTACCACAAACCTTGACAAGTCATTGTAACAATTTTGAAGCTTTAATCAAATTTTATTTTTTTGCTACTTTTGTCTGTAATTTTTTACTGTCAGCAATACTTTTTTGGATTCTTGTTGTAAAAACTCGTACGAGAAGTAAAGCAACAAAAGCCAAAAGGTGTTTAACTAAAATAGAATGAAATATTTAAAAATGACACGAAGTTGTTATTTGTAAAGTTTCTTCTATTTCGACCCATTTATTATTTATGTCATACTTTAGGCACAAAATCCTAAAACTCACATCGAACGGTCTGTATTAAAAAACGACGATTTACGTATCGCTATAAGTTTTCGAGAAAAAATTAGAAAAGTTAGAAGAAGTTTTAAAATCAAGTTGTGATTACAGGATAATGTCCCCTAAATAATTACGTAAACTCGCATTCATTACATGCATCATGAAAAAGACAATCTTTATAGTAATGTACCGTTTCTTTTCTTACTTTTGATACGCACAAATGCCATTGCGGAGATTTCTACATCTCAAAATCTTTTTTTTATTAGACTCAAACTGGTTCACATACGCAACATGCAAGCTTACAAGCAACTGATCACATAGGTAAGCATTACGTTAGCTGCTCTTCAACCTATAGAAAATATACACGTTAAAGGAACCGATTACATTAGATAGAACCATAATTAACTGCCGGTACTGCAGAGCTCTAAGATTTGCAAAGGTGCACGATATATAAATAGAAAGAAGTCGTCAGAATTAATTTACAAAAGTCTTACGAACGAAAACTCTTGTACGTTGTTGGATAATTCTAAAATTGTTAGTAAGTAGACTATTTTATACGGTCGCGAAAACTGAATATACATATTGTCAACAAAAAATCGTTCTGTTCTTTGCTACTCGTATGTTAAAGTTCTATCTATAAAAAAAATGATGATTAAAATTCCTTTACTAAACTAAAATTTTCAGTTATAACCTTTGTTTTTATTTTGATTTATTAAATTTTTGTTACAGATGAAACCACACTGAGATGAGTAAGGTCTCATCTTATCTTCAATGTACCTTTATTAAAAAAGACAATTATAATATTGCTGAAAATAACAATGATGAGTTTAAATCTAAAGATATTTTTTATTATAAAGAATGATCAGTTGTTTTAAATTATACATACACTTAATGAGCTAATAAACATGAACGTATTTAATGACTTGCGTAATATTGAATGACCGTACACTGTTTTCGATGGATAGTGCTTGAAAATTTTCAGAAAGTATAGTTAGAGAAGTTCCACAAGGATTCAACATTGGCCCCTCATTGTTCTTTCTAATAGAACCAGTTCGTATGCCAACCTCATCGGAATTTCCGGCACCTTTCTCTTAATTTCTTCACTAAAATTAGCTCAAAAGATAATCCCAATATTTTAATTTGACATAAAAATACAGGAAAACAACCACAGCTTTATCTGTTAATCCAACCAAAGCTTTTAAAATTACGAATTAGTGATGAGTAGCTATTAAGTTTTAAAATTTTTGTTCTTTGAATTCCACCTCATGACCTTTTGTTTGCATCACTGCAAAAGTGAGCTAGTGTTCTTCACGCATATTCTTAGCGAAATCATCATTCGAAGTCTTTAAAAAGGGTCAAGAAAAACAGTAAATTATAAAATCAGGCGTGATGCTTAAAAAACTTGTTATCAAATTAAGAACAAACGAGGATCGTTAATATAAAGTAGCCTCGCCTACATGTTTTCATAGTGACAGTGTATTGAGGAGATCATTGTATCAAACATCAATGAAAATCGTTATGTTGCACAGAATAAAATCATTAAGAATCAATAACTCATATTTAGTTCCGTATCCAGTAATCTCCATTCATATTATCCATCATTACCATTATAATTACCATTATAACATCCGTCAACATATAACGGATGTTATAATGGTAATGATAATAAACAAATATTAAATATCCAAAGGCATTTGTGGAAGCGATGCAAAATCACGAAGACGCAATTAAATCTAACAACTTTTTTTTTGTTTTAAGAACATGTTTTTCGAACTTGGGGAATGAAAAGATATTATATAACTGGATTTATAACTAAACAATCTAAATTAAGCGAAATTTTGTATAATAATCTCGGCAACAACGACTTCAACATTTTTTCTATCAATTATATCAGTGTCTACTCTTGACTAGACACAAATTTCATTTCACAATCAATTCTCATTACGTGTAAGACTTATTGCATAGCCGATCTAACTTTTTATTTCCAATACCAATGTCGTAACTTATTAATACACATTGTTTTTATCGTTGAAGTGCGAAATCCTTGGGTTGGGTAGTTGGGTATGGTCCTTGATATGCTAGGTCGTCTTTTAGGATTTTTTTATACGTACGTAGTTCCCAATGCCAATGTATTTTATTTATACTAATAATAATTCACTTATTTAAAGTAATATAGACCCAAGTTGTCAGTAACTATTTGATGTTTAGTAAGTTCAATAGGTAAAAGTAAGATAGGTTCAATGAGGGGACTCGGTCGTCAATAACGATTATTTCCCCCAACGCACTGCCACTGCCACCTGTCAGCTATGTCTGATAGATAATGTACAACGCTAACCTTATTACCATTATTCATGGTGGGAATGGTGAATTTAAACAAAATCAATTAAAGAAAAGAAATCAGAAAACGCTTTTGAATCGATGATTTTATAGGTTATAGGTATTTTAAAGTTCATAAATTCAGAAAATTCCTATGACATTATGAATTGCCGATTAAAATTATTTAAAGAAAGAAAACTTTTTGTACGCGCAAATGAAACGAAAAATCTAAGCATGCAGAAAGAAGAAACCATATAAGTGGATACTCCATCTACAATATACTCTAAGAAAGTACGTAATGTTATGGAATTATAAAGTTAGAAGACATTAAGCATGATATAAAATATAAGAAAAGTAAGTCGGCAGTGATTATTACCTAAACAATTATATATTCGTGTAGTTATTTTGCAATTAAGCGGCTTTTGTATTTGAAATTACAATTTGGGTGACTGTTCATAACCATTGTGTTGATATGAAAATAAATTGGTCAGTAATTTATGTAAGTTAAAGCAATTACATAAAACTTCACGCCAATGACGTAAATGATTTTGACTCAGTCGCCGTTAATTACATAGTAAACGGTTTATTAATTCTTATGAAATACTAAAATAAATTATGCTTAGATGATTAAACGCTTGTTAGGACTTATACCAGAAGATATATTTGGATGGATTCCGCGAGCTTTGATATTTATTTGAGATCATTTGATATTTCTCGATAAGTACCTAGTTCGTTTACTTTGGCTACTTTTGTTAATATTGTTATTTTAACGTCGTAAGTATAACTGATGATCATAATTAGCTTCATTCTTTATTTCATTAATTTTTAGATAGGTATCTTCTTCTTGATTTCGATATATCAGTTTGTTATCTATCTTAAAGCAATATTCTGCTTATGGTTCAGCCGCAGCCTCAACAGGATATGCAGCTGCTCAATGATTTCATCACAGTCTATTCAACGGTTTTCAGTTGTCACAATAGAAAGTGGACACTTGTCCTATTCATTTAGATCACAAAGTCTTTGAATACAAATGTGTTACAGCATTCAGTTAGTTCAGCGGTTTGAAAGTTGTTGCGATACTAGTCTTAAATTCTTATGGGATATTAAAATGTTATGACGTTGTGAGTCACTGTTTCCTCGCTAACTTGAATGCGCTTTAGAGGGGAATGGCAGTGGTAGACCTTTGTGGCAAGGTCGTCCAAATCATGCTCACATTTAGTCATATACCTATACTTATAGGTATATCACATTTTTTAATGAGACTTCTTTGTGGTATTTTTATTATAGGCTATCAATAAAACATCATGCGGTTAATAAAAGCTTTATTATATGTAATGGTGTTAATCTTATTTCTTCTATTATGATTTCAGTTGGTTTCCGTAATACTCACATCAGTTCTTTAGGTCGAGATTCACACGTGACGCATCCTGTTCCTATTCAGAAACAGGCTTCCATTCACATAGGTGTTAGTTCGAATTCGTCAAGACAAACTCAAGTTCGTAAACTAAACGATACCGTTAACCACACGACTTCGCAACATCACACAAGACAACACCAAAAGTGAAAAAAAAACAAAGACACTAATAATTCACTCGACACTTTGATTCTACATGATTTTCACACTGCAAGCATTCACAGGTATTTCGTAAAGTTAATTTTAAAATATATAAGTATGTCTAGCATTACCCGCCACCGTGGAATTTAGTTCACAACTGGCAATTTACATGTTTACGTTATGTTACATTGACACGGATGCTCTGTCTCTCTCTATCAAATGGGTTTTACCATAGATTGAACGAGATGATACGACTGTTCCGCAATAACTTGTCAGACCATTAAGTAAAAGCGCCTCTAGCGGACTTTTGCAGAATTAACAGTTTGCCCTTTCGTTTACGGGCATAACGGAACGACGATTAGTCACTAGATGGCGCTTGAAAATCTATCTTATAGGATTTTGATGCACTTTGATATATGTATACGATAATAGATGGCGTTTGGTGGTAGATAAGGTTTGATTATAAATGTTGGAAAATGACGTTTTGATAAAAAAACATTATTATTTAATAAGAAGATGGCCAAATAAATATTTATTCACGTGACGCTAGATGTACAGTAACATATGTTGCCTAACATATGGTGGAGCGAAGCGATGGCTGGTTCATGCGTCATGCTCATGCACGGGTGCTGCCAGCGGGGATGAGTCTGCTCTTGAAATTGTTATCTGTTATACCTTATATTAAATGCTTAATACCTATTAGAAGACCAAATTTAAAAATGCACACACCGCCTACAGACGGGACATATGTCGAGAGAAAATATAGAAAAATGGAGTAGGTTAGTAACAGGGGTATCCAAGGGATGGAAAAGAAGTAGAGGCAGACAAAACAAAAGATGAGAAGACGACTTGCGGAAAATAGCTGGTCCAGCATGGAGACGATTAGCAAGAGACAGGAATACGTGGAAATCTTTAGAGGAGGCCTTTGTCGACAGACAAGCTGTTCAACATAAGCAACCAGTTGAGGAGCTCGATGGCGCAAGTGGATAGCGCGTCCGGCTGCGATCTTTGATGTTAAGCAACTTTCGCAGTGGTCGGTCATTGGATGGGTGACCAAACATTTACTATCTCGAGCCCCTCCGTGCTTCGGAAGGCACGTTAAGCCGTTGGTCCCGGCTGCATCTGCAGTCGTTAGCATAGCACCCACCAATCCGCACTGGGCCCGCGTGGTGGGTTATGGCCCAATCTCCCTATTCCATCCATAGGGAAGGCCTGTGCCCCAGTAGTGGGGACATTAATAGGCTGATGATGATGATGATGATGAACCAGTTGCCGATCACTTTAATACAAATTAGAATGTATATTTAGTTTTTAGCAAGTAGGCATAATTTTTGTAAAAAGAAACAGCAATAATGGCTATTTTATTTTATTTATTTTACCTATTAGAAGAATATATATATATTATAAGTATAGTATTAGAAAGAACCCTGTTTGTATTTATACTGTATAAAACAGCAATCAAAATTTGAGTGGACTTTTTTGTATTGGTAGCGACATGTTTTTTTGTTGTAAATGCTGTTACTTCTGTTAAATGCTGATAAGTTTCTTGCGTCCATTCTTCTCAACAGCTAAAAGATGTCCTGAATGGGTGGTATGTGGTTCTTGAATTATTTTTTTTACTGCCAGCATACTTCGGTGACAGCCGTCGTAGGACGACCACTCCTTTGTTCATCCCCCAAAGTAAGACGACCGCGTTTGAACTCGCTACACCAGCGGTAGATGGTTGCTTTTGAAGGTCCTTTATCCAAAAATGCAGTTCCAAATCGATCAAATGACTCATCAGGTCTTAAGCCACATTTAAAATCGTAAAAAATCGTAGCACGAAAATGTTCTCGACGCAGATCTATTTTTTAACGAGATAAGAAAAATTTAACTTTCGAAAAAATGAGGGAAATTTGAAAATGGAACAGTGGTATTTTTACATTTAAATAATCGAAGTTTTCAAAATAATTACAAGTGGCCAGTGTATTATACATAAAAACTTTTTTTCGCAAAACCTCAGAGTGGCCTGTTACAACTCGAAAAACTACACAAAGAAAAGTGATAGATGATCGTTGGTTCGTTATAAAGAGCTGGAAGAGCTAAGTTTGCCTATCTAAAAAGCGATTTTTGTCCGATGTTAACATGAGACCTTATGCATCTCACGTCGAGATTGTATTAGCTATAAAAAACAGTTGTAGAATATATATTATGTGAAGGCTTACATCTACACACATCAAAAGTGTCTAGGGATCAACATATATTTTTGCAATAACTTTTCTCCTGATTGATATTAATTAAAATTTTCTTTAAGGATTCATCAAATAAAGTGTTTTCGTTTGTCACAGCAACGATAAACCAAGTCACCTTTGCATTAATAAAGAAATTTGCCATTTTCCTAATAAAGGGATTTTTGACATTTGAACCACTAACACAAAAGTTCGAAAAAAAGACTGAAATAACAGTTTTCTCTAAAATTTTATTGGGTAACTTAAACAATTAATAATCCGTATTTCTACCGCGAACACTAACAACACAAGAACATCGGTTTGGCATACTCAAAATGAGTTCATCCAAATCACGCTGTGGAATGGCCGCCCATGTTCGTTGCAACAACAAAAAAAGGTCTTCTTGCGACTGGATACCCTCCATATTCGGCAGAGCTCTTCTCTGTAGCATATCCCATGCATGCTCAATCGGGTTCAAGTCTGGCGACTGAGCAGGCCAGGGCAGGACATTGATGTTAGCTGCGGCGAGAGTCTGTCTTACAACTCTTGCGGTGTGCGGTCGTGCATTATCATGCATTAACTGAAATAAGGGACCGATTTGCACTTGTAGAGGAACGATGACGTCTGATACAATCGTCTCAGCATAAATTTGAGCGTTGAGGTTGCCTCTGATCCAAATCAACTCAGTTCTTCCGCCGATCCAAATACCCGCCCATACCATGATGGTTCCACCACTATAAGGATGGACTTCCTGGCAGGATTTTAATCGCTGTTGGCGTCCAGGGGTTCTCCAGTGTCGTATACGTCTTGTATCCGGTCTCATACCAAAACGAGACTCATCAGAAAAGCACACGAAATGCCATTGTTCTTCTGCCCAATTTCTGTGTTCAAGAGCCCATTGATATCGAATCCTACGATTGTGCATTGCTATAGGTGGTACCCGTAGCGGTCTTCGGGAATGAAGGTTCACTTCATGCAAGCGGTTTCTGACTGTTTGGTCGCTAATTAAGTTCCCTGAAGAGTGATGAAGCCTCACGGCTAACATCATGGCGGTTATTGTTGGAGCTCTTCGAGTTAAGATTTGAATGTATCGGTCTTGTCTCCGTGTGGTGCAGCGATACCGTCCTCCATGGCGCTCAGCCACGGTACCAGTGCTTCGGTATCGTGTCCAAAGTCGACTGATAACACTCTGACTTGTATTCAGAGCTAAAGCTACAGTACGTTGCCGGGAACCAGCTTCTATCATTCCCACGGCTCTGAGCATTTCTTCCCTGCTTAAATGACGTCGCCGCTCCATAATAACGTTGGTTTTAATCAGTAGTAGGGAAACAGTAGCACTAATAATGTCTTCAATGCGTTGTATGTTTTTATAGGGAAAATATTGACAGCTGATTTTCATCTTTTACTCGAATTTGATTCACAGTTCCTGATTCAAATTATGAAATGCACCAAAAAGGATCCATATAAATTTATAAAATCATAAATTTATTACAAAGCCACATCTCAATCTCAAGAAATCCGCATAAAAATGCTTGATCCCTAGACACTTTTGATGTGTGTATGTTAAACTTATTGAACAACCAACAACATTATCAACAGATTAATACTCGGATTTACTAGAAAAAAATAGGGCAGTGGTAGCATAATGGTCAGTGCATTCGCCCGGATAGCGAAGGATGCGGGTTCGAGTCCCGTCCGCTGCCTGGTCCGCGTGGATTTTTTTCTAGTAAACTTTTCTTTAGATTTAAACATCTAGCAGTTAAATGCTTAAAAAATAAATAAAATCATAATACTATGATTGTTTTGTTTTCACAGGTAAATAAATCTATACTAAAAGAAAAATATGTTGTACACTATACAAATAAGTACTTATCTAGTAGAAACAAAAAGTTCGTCGAGCTGTACCAGGGTTATACACCTATTATGATAAAAGATCATCATACACTTTGGTTTCTAAAGAAGTGTCTCAGAGCAAAAAAATGACAATATCACGGGAACTCAAACTATCATTAAAGGTGTTCATTATCCTGTTCAGGTACACAAAACTGCCAGTATAAACTGTATAAATTATGTATTACAATGAATTATTACGAGAATCTACAGTGATAGATTTACGGTTTCAGGTTAAGTGTGACATAACAAAAATGATACTTATTATGAAGTATTGTTACGTCTGCACGTGACAGCAGTCGCTGGGCGACTGCAAGCGTCGCTATTTCCCTGCGCACGCGCCGTTGATACTTCATTTCACTCTCCATAGCCAGGAGTTTGAAACATTTTCATTTTTAAAAGTAATAAATTACATCGTTATATTAGCCTAGGCGCATAAGCTCATAAATTATTTATGTTATAGTAGAACTTCACATGACATGGCATATTTGCTACTGACAACATTTTCATTAATAGATATAAGGATAGATTTCAAATTCACAAATAGCGAATACGAATTAGCCGTATGAAATGTTAGCATCAGTGTTTTATTCTTGGTGGCACCTATATTATTTTAAACTGTCATGGTCACTTACATTCTCGTATCCCGTTTATTATGTGCTCTCTTAAAACACGCAGCGTGAAGTGAAGAAGCTGCTTTAGGATCTGGCGTTATCTATAATAATCAATATTTAATTTTATAGTTTTATCTTCTCACTTTATCAATTAACACAGTCAAATATTGTCAGGGATATTGTCTTTTTCTGGAGCCATATTGGTGTTGTTGGGAACGAAAAAGCAGATTTTAAAGCCACTTCTATTACAAATGATATCCTTAATAATATTATCATTTCTGTATTTAAGGCCATTCTTATACCTGAAACGGATCTTTTGCACTACATAAAGAATAATATAATAGATACCTTCAAAAGGCTTAAGTACAGTCAATCTGTCGAAAAAAATATCGTTTCAGTGAAAAAAAAACCTAAAGGGTAAGTCTTGTTTTTTCTGTTGCCAAATGACGTCAGTAAGCCACCTTGGCGATGGGCATGTTCAACTCGTAGGCGTTTTTTGAAAAACTCAAAAAACCTTCAAAAAATTTTTGAAACGCATTTTTCTTGTTTTGTATGCATTTTAGAAGCTTTTTTTCGACCATAATTGTAGAGGGCATTGAGTACTACAATTTATGTCATTGTTACAATCTCGTACAACAAAAAATGCGCATTGTAAGTGGCGTTAAAGTCTCAAAAAAAGTGTTTTTTCACTTTTTCACCCTGAAAATATAATTTAAATGGAAAACTTTAAATCGCAAAGTTGTTTCGTACATAATTATCAACATCTTTTGTATAAACAATTTTTTTGTATTACTTACCGTTTTCAAGTTATAAATTGCGCAGGTATGAAAAATCCAATAGAGCAGTTTTGGGCAGTTCAAGTACACATTTGCAGCGCACATTTCAATGTACGTTTTAGTATTTTTTATTTTTTTGCATGATTGAAAAACAAAAAAAAAATAGTAAAACATGAAAAAAAATAAAAAAAAATAGTTTTTTTTATTTTTTTTATGATTGAAAAAAATAGTAAAAACGTACATTGAAATGTGCACTGCAAATGTGTACTTGAACGGCCCAAAACGCTCTATTGGATTTTTCATACCTGCGCAATTTATAACTTGAAAACGGTAAGTAATACAAAAAAAATTGTTTATACAAAAGTTGTTGGTAATTATGTACGGAATAACTTTTCCATTAAAAGTTTTCCATTTAAATGATATTTTCAGGGTGAAAAAGTGAAAAACACTTTTTTTGAGACTTTAGCGCCACCTACAATGTGCATTTTTTGTTGTACGAGATTGCAACAATGACATAAATTGTAGTACTCAATGCCCTCTACAATTATGGTCGAAAAAAAAGTTTCTAAAATGCATACAAAACAAGAACAATGCGTTTCAAAAATTTTTTGACGGTTTTTTTGAGTTTTTCAAAAAATGCCTACGAGTTGAACATGCCCATCGCCAAGGTGGCTTACTGACGTCATTTGGCAACAGAAAAAATAAGACTTACCCTTTAGGTTTTTTTTTCACGACTCAACCTACAGATTGACTGTACTACTTTGGTCCAGAATTACTGAGACAAAAGGCAAATGGTATGTTGAAATCAATGATAAAATTGGTATTCCGTGGTTCTGCAAGGGAAAAGATTATTATGGTCGAAAGTTTTTTATAACCATCTGTCGCTTGCGTTTAGGGCACTGTCGTTTTAATGCTCATCTTCACAGGTTGATCTTAATCTAGTCTTTTGATTATAATTTTTGTAGTCTACCAATTAGCCAAACTCTTCGTTATCAGTTTTTTTGATTGTAGTGTCTTTTCGTTACAAAGAATGATTTTTATAGATCAACTCTTAGATATTTATAAAATATCTGAAAATATCCCGCGCTCTCTACCTCAGCTCATATCTTTATTATTTACTTTATTATTTCGTATTGGGTACTCACAAAAAGCAAAAGTAAAAGAAGTTAAGTAGTGTAAAAGTTGTTATTGTAGCTTACGCAATTATGAACTGATTAGAATAAAATTTTCACTCTACGGTACAAAAACAATTATTTCAAACATTGTCTGCCATTGCAAATGTTGCGTTTCATTAAGTGTTTCAATCTCATTGAAGCTTCTTTAAAAAGTCCTGCAACAAAATGTTGCGTACCCCATCGATGCAACCGCACATTTTCCCAGTGGGGATATCAAGCGCCGGCGCACGGAAAAAAGTAAAAACATTGTACCAATCGCTACTCAATAATATCAGCGCGAGCGCAACAACAGCTTTTTTCCGGACATTTCTAATTTGGACATCGCCCATAACGGACGTGTTCCAAGCTCGCGTGACAAATAAAAACGTAACAATTGATGACCCCCGAAGAACACTTTTACTGCGAAGAGCTTTTTGAGTTGTGAATTCTATTGGTGGTTTGTTGTTGAGTTATGTGTCGTGGTGGTTGATGATTCATTGAAGCGATGATGAAGAACCGCGGGCGCTGTGTTCTAGCGCTTTTTATGCTTGCCGCGCTTTTGGAAATTGAAGCTTACAGCCCTAGAGGTAAGTGCACTTTAACTTTGTAAATTACAATAAAAATTGCGCTTTTTCATATTACGTCAAGCGTCGTTTTATTTTGAAGTTAAGTCTTATGATAATACGAATTCGACGTTATAATAAAGGAACATATGCAAGGAATTTATCACTTCATCTTGTGCTACGAAGTTTGGGTATTTCATAAGAAAGATAATTCTCAGGGCATCATAAACAAATGAAGGTACTTGTGTTTTTGGAGTTGTTTTATGTACATATTTCTTTATTTTTTTTACCGCTGCACTTTTACATCAAAATTGTCAGTATAAATGGCGTTCTTAAATATAACAATATCCTTAAATTAACATTATTAACTACTTAATGAAAGCTTTTTGAAGTTCCTTTTTTTAATTTTTCCAATATGTGAAAGTAATAATGATAATAAAATAAACACTTTATTGCTCACATACAAAAGGACATAAATACAAAAAATACATTTAACAATAATGTGGAAAAAGGCGGTCTTAACGCTTAAAGCGATCTCTTCCAGACAACCTTCAAAGTAGAAGGTACTTACTTATATATTACAAAATCATATTCCAAAAAAGGAGTACTTATGTACTTTATTTTCAAACAAATTAAGTAAAACAAAACATACGACCAACTTAAAGGGAGCTTTTAACGATCATTTATTTAAAAAAAAGAAATAGCGAGCCTTACAGTAGTCGCGTATGATGTGTAACATTTGAAACCTCACCTTATGTCACAAACATGCTTATAGCCCACCTGATGGTAAGCGGCTAACATAGCCTATAGAGTAATAGCCACAGAATATATACACTACGCGAATAGCCCAAGTGGTATTGCTCCAAGGGCTATTTTGAAAATCCTGATACGCTACGCAGGCACCGCCAACTTAACTTATGTAGCGTTTATAAAAAACGAGCGAGCCTTATATTGGTAAAAAAAGAAATAAAACCTACTACAAAAGGAATAAGCCATTTGAACATTATGTTTTAAATCAAATCAAATAGCGCGCGCTTTCGTGATTTCCTGTTACACACTTCCGTCCCATTTCACGAAATCACTCCCACTAATTGCAGGAAAGCGAGAGGAAAGATGTTACACATCAAAAACTCGATTAAATTGTGTCTGTCAGTTAATATTTCACTACATAAGTACGTAAAGAATTATGGGTTCGAGTATCGTTTCGTATCCTAGTTGTTTTAAATTTTATCAAGCTTTATTAAAGTAATGTGCTCTATGTCATCAAATTGTTAATTGATTAAATAATAGATACATTAAAATAACAAAAACATCAAAAACTACTTATTTTCTAATATTTTCATTTCAAATTACTTTATATTCTTAAATAATATATAATTTATAAAATAAAAAATATATCACTCCCAGGAATGCTCTATGTCCCTAATGATACATACGTAGTTACCTGAGGAGCAGGTGGTTAGCGCGTTCGGCTGCGATCGTTGCAGTTAAACAACTTTCGCAGTGGTCGGTCATTGGATGGGTGATCAAAAATTTACTATCTCGAGCTCCTCCGTGCTTAAGCTTAAGCCGTTGGTCCCGGCTGCATCTACAGTCGTTAACACCCACCAATCCGCACTGGGCCCGCGTGGTGTATCATATCATGTTTTTTTTTTGTTGACCGTGGAAAATGCGTTTACGCACCATACCGCTTGCCAGGCGCGCGGTGTGTGTGGGACTCCCCGGCGCGGAACAACGCCGGTCCTACGCACTAAAAACCACCGGTACCCTCCTCGGCCCTTATGAGGGCGCTCTGGGATCGCCACTACACCAGAGCGTCCTCGGGCTGGCCCAGCCCAACGAGTGGACCGGGCGACGCGCCTATGGGGGATTACTCAAGGGTACTAGGTAATCCCCAGACGGGGTGGCCTATGCCGAATGGCACCAAGGACGCGCGGCTGGTATGCCGCGTCCAGACCACCTTAGGGCCGACGAAGACCGGCGGTCAAATCCGCCTGCCTTCTTCGGCCCACCCGTCTACGCCGGAGGGGAGCGGCCAGAGCGTCCTCCTCCCACTCCCTCTGCGCTGCCTCCTTCTAGGGAAGGCCTGTGCCCTAGCAGTGGGGACATAAGTCACCCAAATGCCATTTGTCAGTTTATGAACAGAGAAAAAACATGAAGTAACTTATCCAAGTTTAATATTTGGGTTTATTTTTCGGCAGCGCAGGTAATCCCATTAAGGGTTTTTTTTGTAGAAGCAGTTATATTCTAACTGGATTGTGGTAATATACGTTGTTTACGGGATTGTTACCATGTACCTTGTTTTTAGCGAGTTTCCGATATTTCGCCACTGTTGCAAGCTGCATCTGCAGTCGTTAGCCCACTGGCCCACTCTCTCTACTCCATCCACAAGGAAGGCCTGTGCCCCAGCAGTGAGGACATTAAAAAGCTGGTGATGACGAATGTCGCAGCTGTTCAAACTGTGATCGCGGATCAAAACTTTTATGCTATGGCCAATGGCCAGCCATAAGATGGATGACCAAAAATTAAAGAGCTTTATCTTTATGAAAGCTCTTTCTTGCTCCAGTTGGTTCGTCAAGTTATGGTGGTCCCACAATCTGCATTGTTAGCACAGTCGTTAGCACCAACCATTCCACACTGGCACATCTTTTGAGTTCATGACATTAATATCTACATCATCATCAACCTATTAATCTCCCCACTGCTCAAGGGAGGATCCAGCTTTGTACAGATTGTGAAGTGCCACTGCTAGGGCACAGACCTTCCTTTTTTCTTTTTTTTTATAGATGTGTCCGACAAATGACTCCACCCCACCTGATGTTAAGTGAAGGTGAAGTCCAGACGCGAAGATAGCTGAAACAGCAGTTCTACCTGCCACACCAGCCATCCTCACCCTGCCGGCCTGCATGTTGCTTCTTCACGCCTTTAAAAGGATCCTAGGTTGTAAGTTCCCTCCCGAACACGTGAGCGGGCAGAGCATTCCATTTACGGATAGTGCGACAAAGAAATGAGTCACCAAATTTCTTTGTAAGCGTTGGAATTGTAGCCACAGTAAGACGGTGACAACGTAGGCCAGCGCGCGTGGTCCTCTGAAGGAAAGGGGAAGGTGGGATAAGAGAGAATAACTCCTCAGAACACTCACCGTGGTACAGAGGATAGAACGCGCTTAGTGACGCCACACCACGCCTTATGGATGGAATAAAGAGATTGGGCTATGACCCACCACGCGGGCTCAGTGCAGATTGGCGGATACTAACGACTGCAGATGCAGCCGGGAACGGCTTAACGTGCCTTCAGAAGCACGGAGGCACTAAAAATAGAAGATTTTTGGTCACCCATCCAATGACCGACATGAAGTTGCTTAACTTCAACGATCGCAGCCGAACTCGCTAACCACCTGCGCCATCGAGCTCCTCAATACTATAAACTCACCAACATATAATTAAAAAAATAAACAAGGCCCGTATTATAGAAAGATTCTCAGTAATTAATCTAGTCTCTATAGTTAGCCAGTCTTGAGCATAGTTAGTAAGGGATGTCGCTATATCGACCTATGCATAGAATAAAGTTACATGTGAAAATGTTATCAAATTACTTTTATTATACTTTTAGGCGAAACGGACGCATATATTTTACTTGTAAAAACATTTATTCTAAAACTTATATAACTTCGAAGATAGCAATTGAATAAAGGTACATGTGAGTTTTGTTTCCGAAGAATATAGAGTCAAGAGCACTAGTAACTTTTGGACAAGCAAGAAAGCAGCCTGCACCGCTTCAATTTTGTTACAAACTGAGACTTTTTATTAAATGTTTGATTTTATTTTTCTTATTTTCCATATTATCATAATTTGACGCGACAGGACATATAAATTTTGTAAAACAAAGTTATACCTATATATTCACATAATATTGACACGTTCCCCAAGCATAATATGCTTAAATAACATAAAGATGTCCGTAGTAAATTGTCACATAATCACATAAGATACTCTTAAATAACAACATATGAGCCGTAAATGTAGTTTTGTTTAAACAATAAATGCGTCATAATTTGCTTCTCAATGCTTTATATGATTGGTAAAAAAATCAAATGCTAGAAAAATACCAATACAAGTTAAAGCAAATTTTAAATCTTGCAAACTTCAAATCGCTGTACTGTAAAGGTAGTCCAGGAATTTTAGCACCAAAAATCGGTCCGCTCTGCATAAAATCCTTTCTACAAATTTTGTATAAATCATTTTGCTAGAAAAAGTTTTATACAAAATTTGTAGAAAATTTCATGCTCTCCAACTTTAATTCAAACATTTTTTTCGTATCTCCAAAAATTATTGAGTTACTTTACAAAAACAAAAAATTTGGTTTTTTTACTTCAATATATCGGAAAATATCAACAATAGGGGGAAAAGTTTGGTATAAAAAAGATGGGAAATTTTGTTCTGTACAAAAAAGATCTCTTCGGTTTTTAACGTAAAACTTACCGTTTCCGAGATATATGCAAAAAAACGGTTTCCAAGATGGCGGCTAACGCTCGCAGTTTCGGGCGACAGAAACTCGGTTTTATACTTGGGGGGCACTCTCCGACATAATCCAATCGAAAAATAACGTAGAAGGATTTTATGCAGCGCGGACATCTAAAAATCTTGGACTAAGGAGGCATTATGCAGAAGTAGCTTTATCCTATGGATAGGTCGATATATAGCACATAGCGACATCCCTTTCTAACTGCACTCAAATAAAGATCAAGACTTAGTTGTCATTCTGTAATACGGGCCTAATACTACCAAGAGCTTGTAACAGCAAATCACTTTCTAACACAAATATTAGAAGGTCAAATTTCGGCCTATACCCCAGAGCCCTTGTCAGATGAAATGAATACAGCCTTTCCCCCTAGTGAAGCTGTGGAGCTTTGCTCTCCTCGTAAGTTTCACTTTTTATCGGATAACAATAATTCGCCAGAAACTGTAATGGCGCCGAGTTTCCAACTGAATGAGACGTTTTCACAAAATGCATCTTGCCGTTGG